GCCTCTTGCATTCCACAGGTGCCGGGGAAGGCAGAGCGAGCTGCGATGTGAGTCCATGTAATCGCTTTTAGTCCACAGCCCCAGCTCTGCCTCCACGCTGGGCATCAGTGTAATTCCTGCTTCCCCCAGGGAGATCAGACCCACTCCATGTGTCCGACCCTCCAGCAAGCAGAGAAATCAGACTAATGCCTAGATTCCAAGGCCAGAAGGGATCATAGAGATATAATCTCATCTGCCCTCCTCTAGACCAGCCCAGAGACCTGCCCCCAAATAATTCCTACCGCAGAGCTTTTAGAAAAACATCCCATCTTGAATTAACAATGGGCAGCAAGGGAGAATCCACCAGAACCCTGGGTACATTGGTCCAGTGGCTAATTACTTTAAAATATAAAGGCACTTGAGTTTGTTTTCTTTGTAATAAGGTTTCTGCCACCGTATCCAGGCAGGCAACTAGTGCAGTGAGGCTGGAATACAGGGAAGAGGCGTATGAGCCAATGCCGCCAATGGCTTATCCGAGCATTAATGTCATGATTTGGGTTGCACGAGTTTCTGGGCAGCGGCTGTTTAACCAGCATTTCAGCCGGGAGCATTTCTAGTTTGTGCATTTCAAAGTCTGCCTTTGCTCCAGAAGAAACCCTAAGAAAATCCAGCCGGTGATCAATCTCTGGTCATTATTTTAAACACCGCTTTGGGATTCAGAGGGGAGAGCCGGAAGGAGTTTTTAGTCTTTCAAGGAGGCTCTGCTGCTGGTTTAGGCTGAAAGGGTGTAGCAATAATTAGTGACAGCACAAGCTAATCAACCTATTAAATGAGCCAGAACCAGCCTGAGAATGGCGGGGCCTGGACTTAGAAAAGTGCAGCTGCAAATGATCTCAAAGAGGGAAGCGAGGCCAGTGCCCGCAAATCAGCCAGACGTGGGCTGAGGATTTCTCTCCTGTGTTTGGAATTATGTTGACAGGCTCCCCCTGCTCGGGCACAGAAACCACCCCCCGGCTGGGTCCAGGAGAGGCAGCACCCGTGCTTCTGAAAGCGGCTCTGCGTCAGATGGAGATTTCAGGTGCAGAAGTGGAGAGGAAGGATGGGCTTGTGGGTAAAGCACTTCACTGGGGCTCTGGCGAGGGACAGTCAGTTCCTGCCTCCACTGTGAATTTTCTGCTTGTCAGTCAGTGCCTCAGTTTCCCACCTGTGTGTCTCTCGCTCCCCTTGACTTTAGAATAGGAACACTTCCGAACTAGAGCTGGTTGAATATTGGCAATTTTGAAATAAAAGAAAAACATTTGAAAAGGGAACAAAAAAGCTGAAATTTCGAAGTGTCCCTTGGAACAAGAATGCTGAAAAAGCTTCACTTCAGACCCCCCCCCACCATTGTTTCATTTTGATCCCGGAGGTTTATTTTGGTTTGCTGGTCACCTTTTATGAAATATGATGCGGTACCATGTTGGCAACAGGAACTGAAATGATTAAAAATGTCACCAAAATCTACATGCTGCTGCAAAACATTTTGATTTTGATAAAACTGGAGTTTTGGGCCCTGGCAGACCGGGGCTGGACTGGCTATGGAGAGAGATCTGTACACAGGCGCTCAGCCGACTCCCGTCCACCCGCAGAGCCGATTGCAGAGTTGGACACTGAGGAGTTGCTGATATTCAGAGCAGAGTTCGTGCCACTGTTTCTGTAGCATCCCTGCCAGCTGTCTGCCTGCTCCAGCAGCAGGGCTCTGAGCCATGCAGTGAGAGATGGACACACCTGGGGAGAGCAGGGGAGACATGCAAGAGGCAGAGGAAGAGTGAGGAGCAGTTGGGGAGGAGAATGGCTCTTCTTGCTAAAAGGGGAAGTGGGGGCAGGAGGGAAGGAAGGGGGTGGGATGGGGAGGAGAAGGCGAGGTGGGGAAGGGGTATGGGATGGGGAAGAGAAGGGGATGGGGGAAACAGGGGCAGGGGGAAAGAGGAGGGGGTAAGGGAGGGGGTGGGATGGGGAGGAAATGGAGCGGTGGAGAAGGAGCATGGGATAGGGAAGAGAAGGTGATAGGAGAAGTGGGGCAGGGGGAAGCTGGAGTCCAGCATGCGGCATCCACTTGGCAGATGCTGGGGTTCCCCTGTTAAGAAGGCCCATCGAACCCTCACCCTGACAAGCCCCACCTCCCCTGCATCTGTATCACCTCGATGAGCCCCCCGACACCCTCCACACTGAGCCCCAATCACCTGCACCTGGACCCCCATCCAAATGAACCCCACCTCCCCTGCATGTAGGCCCCCTCTGCTGAGCCCCAAACACCTTCACCTGGATCCCCTGCAGAGTCCCATTGTCCCTGCACCTGGAACCCCCCAAGGAGCTTCTGTGCTTCCAGATCTCCCACTGAGCCGCCCGCACCCAGATTGCCCCACAGAGAACTCTCTTACCCCCCCCCCCGGATCTCCCCACACTAAGTCTCTCTGCACTTGAATCCTGCTACCGGGCTGAGCCTGCTCACCCACGCCTGGTGCCCCGGCACAGGGGGGCAGGGCCCCGGGATGTTTCTGGGGCAGGCCTGGCCCTTGTACTGTGTCAGGGTCGGGTGCAGCCTCACTGCCAAGTCCCTGTCCCAGGATGTGGTGGGGGGAGGCTGCAGGGTAATCTCCCACCTCCATGCAACCAGAGGCCTGTGCTCCCCATTGCTATGTTGGAGCCTCCACATTTATTTATTAACAAAATTTGCAGAATTTTAAAATATTGTGTGCAGAGTTTCTAACTGTTTGGTGCAGAATCTAGGGTTACCATATTTCAGCAAGCAAAAAAGAGGACGGGAGGAGCCCTGCCCTAGCCCCGCCCCCGTCCTGCCCTAGCCCCGCCCCTGCCCCTTCCACTCCCTCTCACTTTCCGCCACCCTCAGAACCTCCAACCCTCCCCCTACTCGTTGTCCTCTGACTGCCCGCTCCTGGGACCCCTGCCCCTAACTGCCCCCCAGAACTCCACCCCCTGTGATGGTGGGAGTGGGAGGAAGGAGGTGGGCAGTGGGGAGGTCCATTGGCGGGGGCGCTGGGCGAGTGGTGTGGTGTGCAGTGTGCTGTGCAGTTGGGGTGGAAGGCCAGTGGGGGAGGTCTCTGGGTGAGGGGGCGCTGGGCATAAGAGTGGGGCTTTGGGTAGGGGGTGGTGTGGTGCGGGCCTGCCCACAA